GCAATGGAATTAGCAAATCCAAAATCCCATTAATTTTAGGAATGATTATAAATTTTTCTTGTAACTATATATACATATAAATTTTTGTTTAGAATCCAAACAATTATTTCCACTCAGTGTCCCTTTTCCTTGCAAACTTCTTCAACAATCCAAAACACTACATAGGACTTAATTTTCAAAAAGGATCATGATACGTACACACCCTAAACTCACACCCCTTGCTGCACACCACCGGTTCATCTATTAAAATATATTTTCCTCACATTGGTTGGTCTATCCTTGGCTTATTCTCTACTGAATCCCTACCACATTCAATTCAAATCCGCGGAGATTTGGTTCTGAAGGAGAACCCACAGGTTCTCTTAGTAAGAACTCGATTTGGGTTCTCCTCACTTTAAGCTACGCCACCTGGGTGATTCTCTATTTTCTGGGCTGGGTTTTTGTGGGTATGATGATGGCGGTGAAGGACGGGTGGGTGAGGGCGGTGATGACGGACGACAGGATGGTGGTGGAGTTGTTGGTCAAGCTGAAGCAGGCGTAGGCGGCGCCAAAGGCTCGGAAATCTGCGATGGAGAACCCAGTTACGGCGTTGTTGTTGCAACCCACGATTGGGGCAACATAACATGAAGATAAGCAGATGCAGTAATAGAAAATTGAGATTTGTTTTTTCTAAATTTAATTGTGATTTGATTTTTGTAATGAAATTCATAAGATTATAGAAAATTTTCGTTAATTCATTTCATTTGCAGGTAATTGAAATATGGGTTTGTTTCAAAATGATCAGTTAGAATTATCTTGTGGTGTTAGCTGTTTGGTTTATGAGAAAATAAAAGAAATAAATGTGAACTGACTTTAATTGTAGAATTATGATATTGCCTAGTTTATCTTTTAATGATTCTTTTTTAATTGCTAGAATTTCTGGTGATGGTTTTACTGTTTGGTTTATGAGAAAAGAGAGGGAAAAATCAGGGTTGCCTTGTGTTTGGATGCACAAATAGGCCAAAAGTCTGTGAATGGCTGCAGAGTTAAGGATTTAGGTAAATATATTTTATGGGGTGTGCACCGCCGGGTGTTGAACCGGCGGGTGCATACATCATTTTCCTTTCATTTCAAAAAACACACACACAACATAATCAAGTACATTATTCAAAATAAAAAAAAACTGCTCATTTCTGTAACTACTCTGCTGGCGCACGAAAAAAAATTTCTGCTATCGTGAGCCAACATGGTGGTTTGCTGAAAACGCCAAAGATGGGTGGTAGGGGTCGGAAGAAAAAGGTGGCTCCGCCTAAGGGTGGTGTGTCGAAGGGAGCTGTTGGCTCTAAAAGTGATGCTGCTGTAAGGAATGGTGTGTTAGAAGGTAGTGCAACGAAACAAGGGAGGGGCTTCAGCTGGTAACTAGTGATCTGATTGATGCTATGGAGGTGGATGAATTGCAGCTTACTCCAAGCGATTCTGGTGTGGATACGGAGTTTCAAGCTAAATCTGATGGTGGGAAGACCCAGGATGCTGTTATTCTTCGTCGTGGGTCTGTTGAGGAACGATTAGAGAAGGGAAGTCATGGGTTTGTAGAGCAATCTTCAGAGAAGAGAAGAGAGACTAAGGGTAAGCAAACTGTGGTGCTTGAGTCTCATGGGGGGCGAAGAGAAGTTTCAATTTTGGTCCAATATTGCTAGTGCCTCTGGAACGAAGTCTCCCGAGTCTTCAAAAGCTCGATGAGCTGATATGATTCAAGAGGGGGAAGAGGGTGTGGCCTTGCAAAAGCAGAAGCCAATGAGGAGCTGGTCTTCTGTAGTTTAAGGGAACAGAGATATAAGAAAGGGCTGGGAATTGCAATATGTAGAGCCTCAGGATCCTTCTGGTGCAGTGGTTATAACTGAGGAGGAATGGAATGAGGGATCCAAGATTTGGGAGAATGCTCTTGTTGGGTATGTGTTGGGCATCAAACCTAGCTTCAAAGACATGGCCAATTTTATGAACAATCGGTGTAAAGAATTTCAAGTGCCTAAAGCTTTTATGCTGCGTGATGGTGTCTTTTTATTTGATTTTGCTGATAACGATGCAAAGCAGGCAGAGCTTGAAAAGAGATGGACCTTCAATGACCACCCTTTAATTTTGAAACAGTGGACTCCGGATTTTGATCCAGATAATTTGGATGTGAGTAAGATTCCAGTTTGGATTCAATAGCCGGTGAAAGCACTCTTGAGGTATGCTATGTACAAACCGAACTGCACAATCAAATAGACGCTGACTGGAAGGAATGCAGCGGCATATGTCAGAGTCGTAGCCCATGCCTTCTTCAAATGAACAGTGAGGATAATGGCAGCTGTAGTGAAGGAAAGCACGGTGGTTGCAATGGCGAAGGACAGAAAGAGGAAGCCAGCGGACAGTTCCGCGGGTATTTGATATCGAAAATCTTCCAGATCAAGTGATGATGTGAGCACCGAAAGGAAAAGCACCACCAACGTTAATGAGCTTGCCAGTCCGGCCTCGTCCATCACAGTGAAAAAAGAGTGCAGAGGCGTGTCCTCAAAGACTGGACTTCCGTTCTCTTCAAAACAAATAAAAGAAATTTATTTTTTTTTTTGATATGGCAGCTTGTAAATGACAAATTAGATCTTTTTATTTTTTTTTTTCTTTGTGAGGAGAAGAAAAAAAGATGTTTAGTTAATTACCTCTGAAACCACCTGGGGCGGTGACGGCGGCGGCGAAGACAACCGTTGCGACTAGGACTACCACGGTGGAGCATGACTGACAGGTGCTCTTGACCAAATGATCGTACATGCATACACCTGCATTAAGGAAAATTTTGCAATTCATTTATTGCCGCGTCTCACTTTACATGCAGCATAAATGATAGAAATTAATACATACTTATATGCTCGGTCATTTGTTGATGGTGTTTCCTAGTCTTGCTGCTCTGACTTGGTACATGCTGATCAATTTCATCTCTATAGGGTAAATTGCCTGGAATCACTGAAAACAAAAATGCCAAATCGAGTCATTGGTACTGGAATTAATGTGTTTTTTAGCATGTATGATTGTAGTTTGCCAAAAACTTACATCTATATATAATTTTCCTTAATCCATTCATTTTGGGAGAAGAACTTTTGAAAGCAGTTGGCATGCTTGCGAGAAGGTGAAGACATGTCTCCTTAGAATATTTCCGCGTTGCCAACTCTGGATCTTTGATTAGTAACCAAATAGCTGTCTCTGCATTTAATAGATAATTCTCATGCATTTCCCAGAGGAAAAAGAAAAAATGTGTTTTGTGGTTGAAATTGCCTAAATTACCAAACTACAATCCCTTGTTCAGTGGGTTCTTGT